AACACTACGTATAAAAACCAATCTAACACTTAATTTCATCACTAAAGCCTATTACAAAGCCTAATTTCACCCACTAATCTTACATAACCATAACAGATAATCATAAAGCCACCCAATTATTCTAACTCTAACATAGACTACAAGAAAAGTTTACTATCGCCATTACCTAGCTAGTTACACCAACACGACGATAGAAATATAGAAATAGCATCGGCACAAGGGGACTAAAATATACACCTACAGAATTGCATTAGCAGAAGTAATGTACAGAAGTAAGAACATCATAAGAAATGAAATGTCAACAACAAAGATGTTACTAAGCAATAACAAGTAACAAAACCTATAAGCGACGGTACTTACAAATGACGAAACCTACAAGCAATTACACCTACGACGACGACGCTTATGTCAGACAATAACACCTATGAATACGATATCTACAAGTGACGACTCCTACTACAAGCGAAAGAAAAATCAAAAAGGTATATTAATAAAAAAAAAAAAAGAAAAAACTGATACATAAAAAAAAAAACATATTATATGTATGTAGATCTGTATAACATAAGCACTTTATAATTTTTGATTTACGACATTCAAAAGTTTGATTTTAATTTTTTTAAATATATGAGTATCGCCAAAAGAAAACCCAACAATTTAAATATAGACTGTCAAGTTTTCTTTTAAGCGAAAGTATGATTTTGGGTGGCTTAAATCTAATAATTCTGATTGGTTTATTATAATTTGAGGGATCTACAAAAAAAGGTCCAATTCCACAAATTAGCCGATATGATAAATAAATATCAACAGTACCAGTACATATTAAATTTATAGTTAATGCAGACTAATAAAATTAAATACTAATTTATAATGAAAGATTGTGAGCAATTCCTTCAAGAAAGATCATTAATGGTCTACTATTATGATTATCTAAGACTGTTATAATTCGTGATTCACGCACAGTATTCAGTTTTTCTTGAAAAGGTCTTGGCGTTCTACGCAAAATAGCTGTAATATCGAGTTGAACTCGATTTTGTTCTTTTTGAATCTCTTTTATAAATTTAAAGATATTCAAATTACTTGAGCCAATTAGAGTTTTCCACCTACTATGCCATGCCTCAACAAAATTATTAGTTTGAGGAAAATCATATTCATTATTTTTGTGGACTGACCAGAAAGAAGATGGAAATAATGGGTCTCTCCAAGTCACATCTCCATTTCTTGATACTTGTCTAACTTGGCGACGAATATAGGTTTCTTCAAACTATGTGACAATTGAATTTGCTTTTTCTGAAATATGAGCTTTCAGCTCATCAAAAGCATCAGAGATTTCATTTGGAAGAAGGAAAGCAAGTGCAGGTATTTGGCAAATTCTTAAACTAAAAGTTTCATCGGTCCCATATCGAGTAACTAAACGAGCATCTTGAACTCTTCTGTATACGTTATAAGCCAAATGAAAGAAACACCCCTTACTTCACGTAGTAATAAATTCTAAAAATTAAATATGAATATAATATATATATTAGCCAATATTAGTATATACTGTATAATGAAAGGTACTACAGATTATTAAACGATTTATTTATTATATAAATTACCTGCTTGAAATACATTTATAGCAGCGAGCTCAAAATCAGTCAAAACAAATTCTGGCTTTAAATAAACATTATGATCCGCGCCGAAGTCTACTAAATCTTGAAATAATCTATTATAGCATATCTCTGACTTACTAGACATCAAGGCATATACAAGAAATAAAACTCTGGAATTATCATCACCTCCGACAAATCCATGAATCGTATATAACTGTTGAAAAATAGTTGGTGTATTGAAAGTTCCATCTATTAGCCAAACTAAAGATTGGCTTAAATGTTGAATATTTGAAACCATAGTAAAAACTAGAATTCTTTGATTGCCAATAGTGGAATCTTTAACCAAGAAATCTGAGCCGTCTAAAGTTCTTTTTAAGTTATTAGGAATGATAAGGCTATTTAGTGAATCTGGTATGAAAGGAAGGTCTGAACGTTGAATCCGTCGCACTGTCTGGCAGAGTGAATCGTATGATGAAACATATGGGTAAATGTTTGGGGGTTATTTGCAATTACAAATTGAATAATCTGTGATGGTGGACTCAGAGTTTGTTCTGCTAGCTCTTTTATTTGATTATTTAATTTTTTAACACCAGCTCTACTCGTCTCAGCAGCATGATTATGTGGCCTTGTTGTTCTAAAAATATGGTTTCCATCAATTAATATGGTATTAGCACGCCCACCATATTTTAAGGTATCATGCTTCTCACAATACCAATAATAAAGGTCTTCCCGATTTTTATCTTTTGCTATAATATAACCATGAACATTAATCATAGGTTTATCACGAATTGAAGGAATAATTTCGCAAGTTGTATTTTCCATTGAAAATCAAGAGTTTGAAGTAAAAATTTAAGAGATTTAGAATGATAATGATAAGGTAATAAATATTTTAAAACATTAAATTCGACTCTTAATTGCTCAACTTTCTGACCTGCAGGTCGATAGTATAGCGGTTATGCTCCCAGGTTGCAAATCGGACGGTTGCCAGTTCAATTCCTCTCAGCGGCGAAATAATGAAAACCCAAATATGGAAGTAAAACACCGCAGGGTACAGGGAACTCGGGACATCTACGGATGGATGTATTCAGGGAATAGTTATTCCGAGAAGTTGTGGCTGTGAAGCGAGGCATGTTAAAACCCCGATTTGGAATAACCGAAGTTATGAGACGTACTGTGAGGCCAAAGTCTAAGAAGATACTACAAGAACTCGTAGCACCACCGGATTGGCTAGTGAAATCCCAGTCTAATATTAAGGTATTTTGATCTCTCTGAAGTGTCATGCAGGCGGTCAGATCTAGGCCCCAATGAGGGAACTGGAGAAATGGCGAGCAATGAGATTCCAGATGGATACACATGATTCCTGTATGAGAATTATGAAGGTTCTGTGACACTAGTAGCATAGGGTCAACTATAAAGATAGCTGGACCAAGTCATGTCTAGACTTGCCGAAGTAAAAAAAAAAAAAAAAAAAATTGCTCAACTTTCACTTATATATATACTTTTTTCTGATTATTCGCTTTATTAATCCGAATAATTTATATATAAATGTAGTTATCTAAAATAATTATGATAAATTCAAAATAATTTGTTTGTTATTAGACAGTAATATATAGATATAGAATCGAATTTATTAGTTTGAATTTACCGTAATATATGAAATAACTAATAAATCTAAATTGACAATTTTATCGTAATATTAATATAATCAAAGATTTATAATCTAAATTTTAATTAATTAATTATCAAATTAATGCAATAATTTTATCAAATTATAATAATTCTATTATTTGGTACGCTAATACGTAACTATTAGATCATAAATTGCCTTAATGCTCTCACATATAAACAATAAAATTAAATAAGAAGCTGCATGATGCAGTCTTGCTAAGCCAAGAACAGATAAATAGAAGTCTAATTAAAATTATTGAATAACTCTAAACTGAATAGCTATATTGATATCAGGTATACGATTAAATAAAGCAATACGAAATTTATTATGAAAAGAATCAATAAAACTTAGATTAATAATTAAATACTGCAAAATATTAATAAAAGAATATATAATTATTAATACTAATAGTGCAAGATTAATAAGTTAAATTTATTATAATAAAAACATAAATTTTTTCTTCTTTAAAAAATTAAATCATTAGGTAAATTAACTCCCTCAAATCAAATTATATTTGATGAAGTCGTACATTACTAACTTCAGTAATGAGTGCCATGCCGGTGTGTTATAAATCAAGGTTCCAGGCCTCCTTGCATTACCAAGCTGGAAGTAAAACGATCGTCAGTAGTACACCCATATAATATAGTTA